GTGCTCTAGGTGACCCTGCGTGAGCAGGGGGGTTGGACTCGATGACCTCTGAGGTCCCTTCCAACCTTCGGCATTCTATGATTCTATGATTCTATGATTCTAAAGGTGGTTGGTGTACTGTGCTGCATTCTAGAGATCTGGAATGAGAGAAGTACTGGGGGCATTTGCAGAAAACAGCAGTTGCTTCTGTGTAAACTTCTACTTTTTAGTAGTGTGTACATAACCCAACCACTTCAACAGAGTGAATGAAAGTGCAGTAAAAGTGTGCAAGTAGAAATTCCTGCAAATATGTACAGATGCCTCGTCACGAAACACGCACCGTCAGTTAGGGTTAAAGAACAGACAGCGTGAGCTGGACAGCTTGCTGCTGCTTTGAAGGATTCAGCCCTGCCTGGCAGGGAGCCCTCTTCTGAGCATGTAATCTTTGGTGTATTATGAGCTGGGAAGGTAATAATCTCATTGCCTGTTTACTCATCTTCCTTTGTGTTGAGAATGACTTGTGCAGTTACAAGATGAACTGAATCACAGGAGCCCGTTTATGTTTAAAACTGACTTCTTTCCGCGCTCAGTGCGTGGTTGCCTGGTTGTTTGTGCGGTGGGCAGGAGCAAGGGAAGAGCTTTGGGGAAAATGGTAGTATAATACATGCACATAAGTTAGATAAAACTTCACAAATTAGTCTGAGTGAGAAGATTAATGTCTGCACCAGTCTGAGCTAATTTCTGGAGACTAAAGCCATTTTTGCTTTTTCCTCTTTTTAACTGAAAAATCTTTAATAAAAATATAAAATTTTCGCATAGCGGCTCAGCCAAAAAGTGATTCAGGTGTGTTGATGCTTTCTTGTGTCTTGCAGGAATGAGCTTGTGACATATGGTCTAATATTAACGCTGTCCTCTTGATTAGGTGCTTTTGTAATGTGTGGCAAATAGGAAGGGCTTGAAGTCAGTTTTCATCATGCTGACAATTTGACTAATGACCTAGTGTCTGCCTTATTATAGATAATGACCTTACTTTGAAAAGTTTCGATTATGTGCTTGCTGTGAATTAATAAACCGTCTTCCAGACAATCCCATGTCTAGGAGCAAGCCCAAGGAAACACTGCTTCCCTATTTCTTTTTCACCTTTGCTCCATCTCTCTCTTCGCTTTTCCTGCAGCCCTTCCTCCTCCTCAGGGGATTTAATCTTTCATTTATCCCCTGTCCCCGCTTCCTCAGGCCCATGGGGGCCTGAATGCAGCCCCCGTCAGGAGAGCCTGAGCCTCTTAGGGCAGCTGCCACCCTAGGGACAGTGCCCAGCCTGTGCAAGCAAAGGTGGCTTGACTTGATGGCCCTGGGTGGGCTCGTGCTGTGTCTCCTGGCCTGAGTAGACCAAGGAGTCGACCGCTGCTCTGTGCAGGGCTGAGACTGGGGGCAGTTTGGAGAGAAGGGTCGTTTGTTTTGTAGTAAAAATCTTAAGTGGTGGGTAAATTTATTTTATGTGTAAATTTGGGTGCAAACCAGCATTTCCACTTAGTTGACAAATTCTGCGTTCACAAATGTGTGCACTTTGCCTCTGCTTGTTGCAACACACTAGGCTAACCTCTCCTAGTCACTTTAAAGGTATGTGGAGATTCTTGCAGAAAAACTCCTCCATTTGAATGGCATTTCACAATTTGGTGCTCCTGTAGTGCCAAGAGAAAAGAATCTGCATGATTAGACTGTGTAAGAAGCATATGTCACAGCATTAGCTGTGACTTTTTTGTTTGTTTGCTTAAACTTGGGCTTTCATTAAGAAGAAAATGTCTAGTGTATATAGTTTCTGAAAATATACATGTGACTAGCTTTACACTACTTGGTATTCAGTCTGTAGGTACATATCCCTGTGCTTTTCCTGCTGCTGCTCAGTGATTCTGTGGAATTCGGAAGAAAAAAGCTATCTCCACAGTATCCCTTACATGTTTCCAACTTTTTCTTTTTCTTTTTTTTTTTTTTTTTAATATAACATTTAAGATGAGCCGAGTCCTCCACACCATTCTTTGAACACAGAAGATCTTCAAGAAGCACAGAGATTACCCAAAAAAGATCAAGTGAAGGTGGAGAAGAGGGTAGAACAACAGATGCAGGAGTTGAGGAAGGAATAAAAAAGTAAACCTTT